TAAGATGAGTGGACTTCATGGCTGGCTGGGGAATTCTGGGAGTTGAAGTCCACTCATCTTAAAGTGGCCAAGTTTGGACAACACTGATCTAAGCCTTGCAGGCTAGCAGAGATGGTATAGCTCTTCTTATTTTAGCCCATCTGTTTCCCCAGTTAGTTATAGTTGGCATGAAAGAACAAGGATGGTCTCCAGGATTTTCTCTTTTTCACTTCCCTGTTTCATCCTGAAGTGCTTCTAGATTTTTGGAAGCAAAACAATTTTCACCTGACATTTGAGAGTAATCATCTCACCATTATAATTGCTTTATTGATTGGAGGGATGGGAAATTAAAAACTGATAAGTTGTCTTAAAATCTTAAAACACGTATTTCTAGAAAATTTTATACCACCCAACTGGATATCCTTACATGGAGAAGTTTGAACTAGCATCCCTGTTTTTGAGAACATGAACATGCCAGTGCTTTGTGTCTTTGAGGAAGGAGAGAACGAGCAGATGTGACCATCCCAAGAGGATTTCTGCTCTCATTGTAGACATAGCAAAAGTGTTGCCTTAGAAGCCAGTCAACTTCTTCCCAGTTTATGTGTGTATATGATCACAGAACACAGTTTTTGATTGTTGGGTTTTTATATTAAAAAAAAGCCTCTTGTTTTAAAATAAAGGATCAACATGTGCCATGGTTTTGAAAAAAAAATAGAGAATATACTCACTTGATTTATTTTTTCAGTGCTTTCATATAAGAGCCAAGCAGTGATATGTACAGAGAGTATCTTTGAATATAAAGTGAAAATTTGCTGTGTGTAAAATATTAAACAATTAACTGTTTATATTAAAAATAAATTCTGAATAAATTATCCAAGGGTATATCTAACAGATGGCTCCTTTTGTTCTTTTTGTTGACCTGTATTCATCATTTAAGAGTAGAAAAAGTATGTGGAATTCACAGCAACTTCTAGCTGGAGATGCAAAGGGTCTGAACTGTCAAGCCGTTCTCACAGAACCTCCTTTACATGTGGATGTGCGTTCAGGATCGGTCGTTTGAGACCTGGCCACTATTCTGAGCATTTCCTCCACGACCCCCCACTCCCCTGCCTTTGTATTTCTTTGAAGATGGCTTAGGCAAAGTTGAGGCTGACTATATTTGTTTTTGGTTTGATTATTGATTTTCTTTTTTGCGGGGGGTGTTACCACAAGTGGAGCCTTTGATTTCCCAACATCTTTGTGGTTTTCTTGGCTAGAGCTGGAACTGTGGTTGCTTCAGTTTGCTTAGCTAAAGGGGATCCCTTTGCAGTTGTTTCACTCTTGAAATCTGATCTGGGGAGTGTGGATTTAAACAAATAAAACACCATGCTTTTCATTTCGGTGTCACACCAGCTCCTTTGTAGTTAATTTCTTTTGTTGTCCTTGGAGCGGTATTGCATAAGATAAAGATGGCAAAGATGCACTTACACTAATGCTAGTGTCCAAACACAACATGGTGCCCAGCAACAAAATGAGCGCAAAAGATGACTTGTGAGAAGTGAATTAAACAACCTTGGGAGGAGAGTAAGAGGGCAGATATTGCCCAAGAAAAAAGGAAGTGTTTTGTTTAAAGCTGCTGTTCTACAGTCTTGAACTGTCTTTCTCCATCAAGTTTATTCTGAGTGCCTGAAGAGAAATAAGTGATTCAGGGACACTTCCAAAGTGGAGAGGCCATGGGGCAGATACTCTGGGTAAGTGCCACACAAACGTGGCTTTTAACTATATTCCATAACTGATATGTTGGAAAGCAAACACTGAAGTCCAGAACTGTTCTTAAGTAAAAATTAAGCCAAAGAAAAAGGGAAGTGGGAGAGAAAAACATGTTTGGGTCATAGACAAGAGGTATTTTGTAGCTGGTACAAAACAGCAGCCCTGGCCATTCTGAACAGTTAACTTGAATCTAGGGCTTTTCTGCAGTTGCATCCTTCAGATGTATGTGTGTGGGTTTTCTTTCTGTTTAAATAATTCTGAAAATTTGAAAGCTGCTTCGCTTCACTGTGCTAAATTCTAATGAAGGTATTACATCACTGGCAGTTCTGGTTACATTCCTAATGAACTGGCACCACTATCTGCATTTTTTAAATGTAAATTGCACTAATTATATATCCTGGCTGGTGAAGAGCTGTTTCAAAGGTATGATTCCAGGAAGAGAAGATCCTGAGGCCACTCATCTTGCTTGTTCTTTGCTTTATATGTGATAATAGTTGCAATGCAAACTGCTAACCAAAAACGTTGCGTTTGAGGTTGCAATCGTTGCATAACAGCCAGAACATAAAAAGAGTCTCTGCTCAAAATTATTTAATTGCTCTCCCTATGGAAGTTAATTAACTTGGTCCGTGGCAGCTAAGACCTGTTAAATTGGCCAATGTGATATAGCAGTTAAGGTGTTGGACTAGGACCCGAGAGACCCATATTCCAATCCGCCCCATCTGCTGGAGGGCTTTGGACTTGTCGTTCTCTCTCTCAGCCCAACCTATTTCACAAGGTGGTGGTTGCAGAGAAAAATTGGAGGATGTACGCCACTTTGAAATCCTGGAGGAAAGGCACAATATACAGTACTATGCAAAAGTTTTAGGCCGGTGTGAAAAAATGCTGTAAAGTAAGAATGCTTTCAAAAATATATATTGTAATTGTTTATGTCTGTCAATTTACAAAATGCAATGTGAGTGAACAGAA